GAGATCTGTGCCATGAGGCAGCATCTCCTGAAGTCCCCAGAGCCTGGCTTGTGGTGGTGGCACGCATCTGTCAGCAGAGTCGGTATCTGTACAAACGAGCCCAGGTCCGTTTCCTCCCGCGAGCAGAAGGAACCACAGACCTCGAGTGGCCGAAGAGGCAGCCGTTCGGCCCCCGAGCTGAACAGATTCTTCCGTGGAAACACTTCTCGTTCTGCTCCTTCATGTTTGGAAAGGGGGGTTTGCAATTTTTGTGGCTGGTGTTTGTTTGGGGGGGGAGGGTTGGGGTTTTTTTGGAAGGAAGGAAATAGAGATGGATCTCAGTCTTTATACACCTGCTATAAGATATTTTTGCAAACAGAGTTGTATACGGAGATGTATTGTGTACATTTACATGTATATTCTGGAACTTCTAAAAATTGGAATATAAAACTGAAAATATTTAATGAATATCCAAACTGTGAGACCCAATTAGCATTCATCTATTTTCTGCTTCACTTTTTTTTGGACTGTGTTAAAGAAACGTAGTCAAATATGCCTTTTTTTTCCTTTTTTCTTTTTTTTCTTTTTTTCCTTTTAGCTATTATGAAGCTAGGCAAATTTTGTGCTTTTTGGGTTAATAGAAACCAGTTGTAGGTGACCTAAGTCTGATCTAACTTATTGATCCCGTGTTTTCCTTTGTAATATTGTACTGTGGATACAACTATATTGAGCCATGGAGTTGGAGTTTACAAAGAGCTTTTCACTTTGCCAAAATGTTACGATTTCAAGGCAGCAGCAGAGTCTTCAGCTTGCCTCGTCTTTTCTTAAAAGAGTTAGTGTCCTTTTGTACACTAAAAAGCTGAGTGCTGATTTTGCAACATATAATAAATTCACTGTATTGGAAAGCAACCCCTCTACGGCTGTCTCTTTTTCTCTCCAGTGCGAGGGGAGGGGGGTGGGGGTGGCAGAAAGGTGAAGTTTGAAACGTGCCCGAGCTCAGGGGCAGCGAGGGAGGAGCAGAGCCCAGGCCCGCAGGCTGCAGCACAGCTACACCCCAGAGCTGGCTGCCTCCTGGGAGGGACAGCTGGGGGTCACTGGACGCCACGCGGCTCTGCGTCTTCCACCAAGTGCTGTGGCCGGTCCTTGGGAACGAGGGGGCTCTAGTCCTTGGGAGTGGCCTGGAGGCTGCAGCTAGACTTGGGCCCTCAAGGCACAAGGGACTTCTCTGCCCACTGAGCCTGGGACCAGAGCTCCCCCCAGCCTGGTCCAGTCTCCAGCTGAGAGCAGAGGGAGCGAGGTGCTTGCTGAAAGTGAACGATGCTAATCTGATGTCCTGGCTGGTGGATTAACAGCATTACTCCCTGTCAGCACTGCCCTACTTGCTGGGGTGGCTGCGGGCAGGGGTGGGGAGGGACACAGTCCGGGAGCCTTGGGCCTTGCTTGGACCAGCAGCAGGTTTCACGGGTCCTACAGCTGCGGGATGGGGACAAGAGAGACTGGGCCACAACTGGTGCTTTTTGCCCATGGAGCAACGTCCCTCCTAGTCCTGGCTGCTCCTCTGCCCTGAGACGTGTTCAAGCCCTGGGCATGGAGGGAAGGGGATGGGGTGCCGTGGGAAGATGCTTTTCACAGGGAGGTTGGGGGCACTAGAGACCCTGGCACTTCAGGCCTTGGGGACCACTCGGTGCCTGGCTCTGGTCCCAGCTGGGCCCTGCTGCCCATGGCACTGGCTGCAGGAGGCAAAGGTGGGCAGCCAGGCCAGAGGGGCATATCACTCCATCTCAGCCAGCCGAGCGGGCGAGTGGAAATTTCCCACAGGCTCCTTGCTGCTCTGGCCCAGCCGCCCCCCGTCTGCAGCCTTGAAACCTGACTCTGTCACCAGCTGAAACTTTAATGTGCCAGCGATCACTGCCAGCCGGGGGGGGGCCTGTGCTTAAAGGGGCTGCTGCCGGTTGCTGGGGACCCCTGTGGGGCCTGCGCTGGATTCCCTGTGCCGGCCGCTCCTTTGGAGCTGTCAGCCGCTCTACCCTGGGGCTGGACTGTGCGCGACCTCTGGCAGGAACAGGAGACCAGCACAAAACACTTGTTCCTGGGGTCCCCGAAATTGCCTGCCCCAGGCCTTGCTGGCCCTGGAGCGGAGGGAGCTGGCGCAGAAGCCACGGCACGCAGGGGCGGGTGCAGCTGATGCAGATGGTACAGGGGAAGGTGCAGGGCCCTGCAGTGCAGCAGCTGCCCTTGCTCCCCTCCCTTGGGGTATGTCCTGGTGCTCGAGTGCCCCTGCAGCACTGCTGGGGCAGGCCACTCGCCCCTCTGTGCCTGTTTGGAGGTCGGTCCTCCGCCATGCCCTGCCACGTGCCCGTACGTGTCCCTTGTTCTTTCTGGGAGAGAAACCGGGGCAGCAGGCCCCTGTTCCCTGCGTGCAGCGGCGGGGCTCCACTCTGGAGCTCTTAGCCCTCTGCTCCCTCCCTGCTGCTGGCTCCCTCCACCCCCCGCGCGCCGGGCTGGGGCAGTCCGACTGCAGGGAGCGAAGGGTGCCCGTGGGGCCCTGCCACTGCTCTGCGCCTGGCATTCCCGCGCGCTTGCCCTGCTGCCTCGAGCGCTGTCGGCTTGTGTTGCAGCTGGGCGCGGAGTGACCCAGTTACCGGTCCTCGGAGCACTGGCCGAGCTGCGTGGGAGAGCCCTGCCAGCGGAAATTTACCAGCCGCTCCTCGCTGCCAACAGCTCCGGCCCGGCACCGGCCTCCTGCCCTGAGCCTGGGAAACCAGCCACGGCTGCCCCGCGGCCCTGGGGCCGTGCCCGGGCGGCAGAGCCGAGCCAGGCCCCACGCCTCTGTGACCTCCGGCTCGTTGCGGCACGGGGCCGGGTAACCGCTGCGGTGCGTGGAGGGGAGCGCAGCAGCACTCATCTGTGCGCCGGCATCGGGCGCACAGATGAGCAATCCCCGCGCGGCCCTGGTTGCGGCGGGCCAGGGCCCCCCAGCGCCGGGGGAGCTTGTCTGGGCTATTGCTGCTTGCGTGGGCGCCTGTTGGCCAGACGAGGGAGGACAGCGCCCGTGCACCCCCAGCCCCGTGTTAGGCTGCTGCGTGCACGGGTCTGCTCCGGCCCCCGGGTCCGGCAGTGCTGTGCGCGGGAGGGGGCCCTTGCTACCAGGCCCAGGGCGGGCCTGCCCCGGCCACGGATGGTCTGGACGCAGGCAGGCGAGGCCGGCTCCCCGCGCCCACCCAGCTTCCACCCCTGGCTGCAGGGAACCCGGGCCCGGGGGCTCAGCAGTGCCGCCGCCGGGGCGGCCCCAGCTCTGGCCGTCAGCGGCTGCGCGGGAGCAGGGAAGCAGC